TGGGATGCATTCAATATCATATTAACTCATTTCATTTTTCAGTTAATGATATATATAATATTATTTATTCGTAGTAAAAAAAATATTATTTTAAAATAATTTTTTTATTAAAATTAACTTTTTTATTAACTTTTCAATTAATGTACAAACACATGTTTTTTTTTTTGTCAAAATTTTATTTTAACCCCAAAAAAAATTTCTAGCCCATAGACTCTAAACAACCTATCGTCAGGGACATCCGAACGTAAAATTTTAAGCAAAAACTATATATAAAATATGTTGTTATATCATTTTCATATAAAAAATTTTATCATAAATTTCTACCAAGGATAGTGCTAATCAATATCAATACACATTAAATATAACTATAGAGCACTAAAATTTAATTGTGTAATATTTTAATCTTTCTTTTTTAAATGTCATTTCAAATTGTTATTGTATCAATTACTTTTTATTTTAAATTTAAATTATAATTGTATCAATTGAACTGACCCTTCAAGTTCAATGATTCATCTTCAAACTTTAAGTGCTTGGATGTAGTTGATTGAGAATTCAATTTTCACTAACGATTTGAAAGAAAAAAAAATCCGTCATCCCCCAAATTCCGCCATACTCAAAAAAAAATTATAATTATATCAATTACTTACTTTCTACTTTAAATTTAAAGTGTGATTATTATTTTTTATTAATTGATTATAAATAATTCAAATTAAAAAACTAATTTGTTATGAAGAAATTAAAATTCATCTCATCAAAACAATTATCTTTCCAATTGTTTATTCAAAAAAGAAAACTTATGATTGGCCTAACATCCATGCAAGTAATGGCCCACCCTATAGATAAATGCTTCTTATTTCTATATAAAATAATGATAAATAAGATAAAAATTTTAGACTAAAATTCTAATGGTATGACATAAATCATGTCATTTAAAGTATTAAAAAATAAATTTTATATTATTTAATAGTTAACTTTTTTATTTTTTTTAAAACTCATAATATTGTATGTATTATCTAATTTAATGAGATGGGATACACCATGTCAGTGATTTTAAATTTTCATCTTCCCTATTATTACTCGTCTATATAATGTTAACATTTTAATAAGATGCATAAGAATTGAAGACAAAAGGACTTAATCATCGAAAAAAAACATGCCTAACAAAATAAGAACATAAAATCACTAAACATTAAAAAAAATAGAAAAAATCAATCCTTAATTTCCAAACACCCAAGTAAGAAAAAAACCTATTCATTAGCAACAGATTTTGGTTCTGGTTTGGATTTAAGTTTGTAATGGTTGTACAAAAGTGCTATCTTATCTTCAATCAGACTTGTTCACAATGCAGACCATCTAATCTCTGCTAGTGCTAGTGCCACCTTTTCCCCCTACTCTTGAAAACCGCCACTTTTTCCATTGCAAAATCCAAATCATGGCACAAAACCTTCTCTTCCACACCTGTCTGCAAGACCCTCATACTATTAGTATCTTTCAATGCTAAAGTAGCTTCCCTTCCGACTTTGTTAGCCCATACTGTGAGAGACAAATCTGAACACCACCGTCAGGTAAAAGGCCAAACATCCAACTTAAGGATGAATGGTCAACTAGAATGACTCCACCTCTCTTTGCCACCTTCATCCCTAACAAATGACATCATGATTGGCCTTATCTTAAATGCTCTGACATAAGAAT